AAATGTTTTTTTTTCTTTTGTGCTTTGTTATAAAGCTCTGTATGGATTGTAGAATTTTCTATTATTCTGTTTGAATAAATATTTTCTTGTTAAACAATGACAAGAAAGAGATGGGTGTATGTTTACTTTCTATATTATAGATTGAGAAATTATATTCTGAATTTTGTTATATATATATTGCATAATATAGAATAATTTTCTGTTTTTATATATTATTAGTTCTAATAGGTGGATAATATGCATTATGGAAAGTATCTAGACTCATTGATGGAACATAAGGAATTGGAAATTATATGATATAGAATGTCGCCTGATATTTATGAAGACAGATACAATTTCGTTCACACTTGGTTATCTCGTGGTTCTTCAATATATTTCACTGTAATATCTTTCAGAGTTATTGTCTGAATCCCGATATACATGCTAAAAGGTATAACTTCTTAAAATTTTTCCCATGAATGTATTGCGTGAAAAATATTATTCATACATATATTTATGTGACATATATTTATAATTTTACTCTGTGTGTGTATCATCATTCAAACTATATTCACTTGAAGTTATAAGGACTGTTTCTCTTTCTAATTTTTAAAATAATACATAACTTACAGAGGGAAACACGCGTTTTAACAACTTAATTTCAAAACATTTAAAAATACATTTTCCTATTTAATATACACCCATATCACGCTTTGCGTCGGGGTTACGTTCCAAAAAAATATGACGTAAATTGAAACGACGCAAAGTGAAAATATGTGAAGGCGCAATCAAAAACAATGGTGTTGCCATATTTTAGGGAAAAAAATAAAAAAATAAAATAAAATTAAAGACTCGAATCCAAAACAACGCAACTTCAAAAATCTAACGACGCACAGTGAAAATCAGTAAAAATTAAGTAGCGACGCAACTTCGAAAAAAAGGCAAAACGAAACGACGCAAAGCGAGGTATTGGTGTAATTACGTAAGAGATGAACTAAACTCATGAAACATGTTAATACAATAAATCTAATATTATATTACGTCTAATATTTAAGTACATTTATTTATATTGATATCAATTTTACCTATTCTATTAATATTTAAATTCGGTGCATTACAAAATTCCTCTCGATTATTATTTTTGTAGTTAAAATAAAATGGTTAATTTGATTAAATAATTTTCTGATCACCTTCCCCCTTTATTCCACCCGAGACTTTAAGGATATTCTTTTAAATATAAATTCATTTAGGCATAAATTACCACAAAATATTTATGCCTAACTGACCTTGTCTGTATTGTTTTCGGAAGAGCATTGCTCAATGCAAATATTTGATTGTAATTCTACTGTCCCATAAGCCTATGTCCATAGTCTTCTTAAAAACCATTTCTGAGATTCCACCCTTCAGTGCTGCGTATATAAGCAGAATCGTCCAATACAGTATTAGAGCTCTGAGAAGCGGTCTTGTAGATTAAATTGGCGAAACCTCTGGGCTTGAGCCAAGCCCTCCCAATATATTTTTCATTGCAGTAAGGACAGTAGAAGTTTGTATTATGTATAAAAGAAACATTCGTTCTTTTAAATCCTTTCATTTTATATGTATAAATGGCGCGTTATTGCTTTGTGTTAATATATAAAAATATATACACTCATTAACAAAAAATAAGAAAGTTGAGATTTTTTTTATGTCGCGGGTAATCTGTTATTTTGAAGGATACAGAAACAATTTTGTTAACACTTGATTATCTCATGTGTCTTCAAAATAAGTCACTGTGTATCAAATATCTTTCAGAGTAATTGTATGAATCCTGATAAACTTGCTAAAAATTATAACTCCCTTAAATTTTGTCCATGAGTGTATATGAACTTAGGAAACATTTTAGTTTTCATTTAAAGAACAGCTATATATGTAATATTGTTGCAAATGTCGATGTATGGATAAGCTGGCAGTCGTGAACGTGAGGCGAGTGTTGGTGTTCTTCCCACATGCGGACAACAAGAAGTAGAGGCTGGGCTAGATGTAAGCACATAGAGGGATCGGGGACAGCCCACGGGACAGAGGTAGAGGCCATGACACCAACTTTGATGTTTATCACCGAGACATGGAGAGCGAGTGTGTGTGAGAGAGACAGCCTGAAGCGAACTGCTGAGAAACACCCCCTAGAACATCTGCTGACCCCCTGCAAACACTTGTCCTGCTTACAGGGGGGTCTCTATAAGAATATCCCTCGGGACCCCACATGGGCTGGGCGTTGCCTTTTTACACCCCTCTGTCCCTGCTGCCACCAGCCCACCGCTCTCTCTTTGGATCTTTATTTTGACGTCACCAATTTTAGTTTATATACAAATAGGGGTGTACAGGTATTATTAATAAAGATATAGCATATATACAAAATATGGGGGTGGTAGCAAATAGAAAGTGTAATTATTATACAGTTTAAAATATACGATATATTTATATAAATATATTTCAGCATTATATATTTAAAAAATGAAAATATATTACTTAATTTAATAATAGAAAATATCCAACGCAAATATCAGAATAAATAGGCATATTTGCATATTATTCTATTAGGTTTGAATTCAAACGTTAGTAGTGTGTCCAAATAAATTAATATTTCAAAACATAATCGAGTAGTCTATATTTTAAAATATATAAATGCTTGAATACTAATCAAAAATACTATTTTCCCCCAAATTACAAATATCCTACACCAAGTCGAAATCAAACGATATTAAAGTGTAATTGACGCAAACTCAATTTGAAAGATGTAAAATTGTTTAAATTCCCGTGGAGAAGTCAAAAATTGTTGGGAGCAATTTAAAATATTCCGTTAAGACCCCAGGCGTTCAATTTAGGCGGGCACAATTAGGTTCTGAAATATTTACTCCACTGCTTATCTTCTAACTTGTATAAAATTGTTATTTCACATAGTTGTGTTTACCTGCCCGAGTACTTATTTCTGTTGAAGTGCATTCTACTTTTATTCAAATTTAGGTTTTGAGTGTGTAAACAGCTATGGAATAACATATATCTAATATTAAAGGTATGGTGGAATTATTTTTACTACAAATAAACATACCTATAGTAGAATATAATTTGAATAGACCATTTATTCATTTCTACTTCCAATGTTTATTTTAGTATAATGGTATATTAGCATATGGTTTGAAATGATATACACTCATGGACAAAATTTAGGGAAGTTGTACCTTGTATCATGTATTTCGGGATTCAGACAATAACTCTGAAAGATACACTCATGGACAGATTTTCAGGAAGTTGTACCTTGTAGCATGTATTTCGGGATTCAGACAATAACTCTGAAAGATATACTTATGGACAAAATTTAGGAAAGTTTTACCTTTTAGCATGTTTATCGGGATTCAGACAATAACTCTGGAAGATATACTTATATACAAAGTTTAAGGAAGTTGTACCTTTTAGCATGTAAATCGGGATTCAGGCAACAACTGTGAAAGATACAATCATGGATAAAACTTAAGGAAGTTGTACCTTTTAGCGTTAAAATCGGGATTCAGACAATAACTCTGAAAGATATTTGATAGACAGTGACTTTTATTGATAACATACACACGAGATAGCCAAGTATAAACAAAATTGCTTCGGTCGCCAAAAAAAATAAAACAGACAACCAGCGATATAAAAGATTTCAACCTCCATAAGATTTTTATATGAGTATCATTTTATATATAAATATATATATATATATATGCTTTTTCCTTTTAGTTATCGACTACAAGACAGCCTGTGATTGTGAATCTTTACTCAGGAGTCTTTAAAATGCTTGTATATGACCTATGAACTTACATACTTGTATATTTTTTGTTAAATATTTTTTATATTCCAACTAAATCTATTGATATGACGGAAATAAACATTGACACATAGTGTTATTGATATATATAAATCGATTTATCAATTTTATTGTATGTGTATATATATATTAATATATGAAGAAAAAGGCATCTCCTTATCGTGCAACTAAAAGTTGCTGATGGCTGGCGCCATCTGCCTTTTTCTTCATATATGCACCTTATCCCAGTACAATGTTACATTTGTACTATTTTTTCACATATTAATATATATATACATTAATATGATGTAATACCTTGAAAAAAGTTGGCGTTAAGCCAACTGAAATATTGGTAAAATGATATTTTAATCCAATATATATGCCTTTTCAATTAATAATTGATTAATGAATTGCTCTATCTTCAAAATAATATAAATATAGAATTTTTTATTGGATAAATTGTAGTAAAAAATATTTATAGCAATTAGGGTGACCCTACTCGTTTGAAAGCAGACCTGGCTACCAATATATACAACTACGTCTGAACAATCATATTTCTACATATACTTTACTATTAGAAGCTTTCTCTTTAAGAGAAATGAGGATATATAAACACATATAATAGATAATTGGTTAAAGAGAAATGCTCGAAGCATATTTTACATTTCAATTGTATCTACCCTTCTAGGAATGTATGTGTTATGTAAATAAAGTATGTAAGAAGGATGAATCCGTTACCAATAATAATACCTATAATAAACGAAAATAATACGAATTGGCCAATTAAGTAGAAGTTTTATGATTGAATTTAACTGCTTTTGGTATCAAAGGTCTTGAAGGCTTTAAAGGGAAAGATAACTCCAAAGAGAAGCCTGCAGATATGCAAATATACAAAGAGTTGACACCACCGCAACAAGATCGTTTCAAACACCAAAGAGGGAAACTAAAGACACGGTGATGCAACTTAAGAATGTTATGTTATTTAAGTAAAAAGGATGAATCCGTAACCAATTTAACTTTACATATTATTTATTATTAATAGCAATTATACAAAACAAATCTTGGTATATATTTATACGCCAAAATAACAAAAACTATAATTATTATATACATACAAGTTCCTTTTCAAACACGAGCTCATCCATAGTTAATGTTACTCTGTGTAATATTTCAACAGTATGTTTATAAAAGGAAAAATACGTCCAGGGTAGCCTAGTGGACATGGCACCTGCCCGGTAATTGTGGGTTCGATTCCCATCCCTGGACACTTTTATTTTTCCGTTCGTCATTACTCTTCATATTTCAACCTTTTATATCTCATCTAAAAAGGTTACAAATAGTCATTATTTCACCTTGAAATACATTTTGATTATTCGTTGAAAAGAAACTCATGCGGTGTAACTTCAAGTGTTGTTTTACAATCACAAGCCTCAGTGTATTATATTGTATTATAAGTATGTTTATAGTTTATTCACTTTTCCATACTCTTTACAATAATTTAGCTTCAATATCGGTATGAGAAAACAAAACAGAAAATGCAATATTACCATGGTATGGTATATTGAACTAGAAAAACCGCTAGAACGATTCACCACTGATTATTCAAGACCTCCCATTTCAATAAAAGATGTTTTACCTCTAAAAAATGTTATACGCATAAAAATACACCCCCAAATAAATTTACACGGTAGATACGTACCTGAGAAAAACGTGTAAATCGGGGGATAGGTGTACACAGAAATAAAAATAAAATGCATTGACAGGTTGAAATATGTAATCAGCACATAAGCTCGGGATTCCTCGTGAGATGTGTACACAGCGCATGTGTTCAATCACAGTAGCATTTAGTATAGTGCGAAAAACAAAAAAAATACTTATTTAGAAAACCGTGTCAAAGCGAAAACGTGTAAAACAAGTACCGTGTAAATCGGGGGATAGGTGTAGTTCAAATTTTATATAAAAGACAGAGCGCTATCAATGGATCCTATAAATATACATGTCAAATAAAAGAAAGAAATAACGATTACACCCGTATTTGATGATATTTATATCCACGCAAAAGACTACAAATGTCACAAGAAATCAATAATAAAGTATAAAGAGGTTATGTACAATGGAAAAAGTAAAAATATCTTTTAAAGAAGTTCTCAAGATATTCACATTCATAGATAAACCGTAAGGATGTTATGATGCACCAGCGCTCCATCTGTTATCAAAATTCGAAACTATTCAAACGCGTAAGATTCTTTTTTGAAAATTGAACAATTTCTACTGCGCTTACTGCAATGGAAAAATTAATGGGAGGACCTGGCTCATCAGTGGTGAACCCTCTCAGCGGTTTCGCCAGTTTAATCTAACCTACCGCTGTAAGGATGTTGTACCTTTTAGCATGTATATAAGGATTGAGACAATAACACTGAAATATATTTGATACACAATGACCTCTATTGGAGACACACGATATAACAACACTCATGGAAAAAAAAGGAAATTGTACTTTGTAGAATATATATAGATATTAAGGCAAAAACTCTGAAAGATATTACAGTGACCTTCATTGAAGACACACTAGATAACTGTGATCAAAATTGATTTTGTCTCCTTCAATAAACAGACACCAGAGACATTAAAGACTTTCCAATACCATATTAATTCTTTTTTAAATATATTTAAATATCGATATATTTTATTAAAATAGTCTCATGAAAAACAATAATTAATTTAAAATGAATAAAAACTTGTTAATCGGACCATTTGCCGATTTGAAAATAAAAAAATATTAACAAGGAGATTATAATAAATAAAATATTAATAATAAACGTGAGAAGTGTTAATAAATTAACACGCGGTTAGTAGAATAATATTAGATGAAGCACTTTATAACGTGAATATATATTTAAAATAGTATGTTTGCATTAAGTATACCATTAATACAAGAAGGTTAACAATCTTATCTGTTCAACAATTCCTATTGCCTATATATAGTTAAACAAAATTGTATTTTAATAATAAAAATCACATATATTATATCCTTGAATTCACAAAAGAAAACAAAACAGAGAGAGAGAAGAACAATAATTTGAAAAAAAAAAATTGAAAAGATTGTATCAATATTTCAAACACAGAAAAGTTATATTTTTCTAAGTTCAATTATTTTATTAGTTGTTGTAAAAAGAAAGGTTTTTCCAGAAATGTCTCCTCTTTTGAAAGGCACTAGTAGATATGTCAGAATTTCTAGAAACGCCACAGTTTTAAGACAGGCTAAAACTTTTTGTAGTATTATTTTAACCAAGAATTTTTTAGCTGTTAGCCTGCCTCTATTGGTTGGGATGTAGCCTCTCTTTTTTAACTTTTTTTTTTTGCAGTTTCTGGTTAAAATTTAACTTTGGTCGGAACTCTGGAACATCCATCATTTTACTCAACCTGCTTCCTCCGACCTGTTTTTAAATTTTCTTCTTTTTTTTAGATATTCTTCCTTAGTCTTCTTCTTTAATATTCCTTCACTTAATATCCTTGTTCAGGAAAGATCATTTATTTCTAGAAAAATGGATTTTCTATTATAAAACGTTTTAGTATTGGGTGTATAACATTGAAATAATGAAATATCGATAGAATTTCTATCCTGCATGTGTTATTTAATGTTGAAATTATTATTATTTTGTTACACGTTAAATATGGTATTAATATTAAGATTAAATTGTTTAATTATATCACATTGGAATATAAACATTTTTGTTCATATAGTTTTTTTATAGCATACTTATGTGTGCCAAATTGTGTTTCATATTAAATATTGTATTTAATTTTATATATGTTTTAGCTTTTTTATATAAAAGAGAAATGTTTTCTGTTATATTTACCTGATACAAAAGAATGGAAAATGGTTTTATTAACTAAATATATATATTACCTGATACTCATACGTTTTATAGTGTGTTGAAAAATCAATATTTTATATATTTATATTATTTTTTATTATATATTTAATAGGCTAATCCCTTAATAGAATGTTAAAAATTCAATAAGCTTGAGGGATGAGTATCTTTAGCAAAACATTTATTTCAGGCTTTCGGGATCGACCTCCCTTCGACAGGAAAATTACGCTACTGACGTTTTCGGATCTAATCCATATATACTCGTATACACACAAAGAAGCCGAAAATATACTACAGTTATGCAAAGAGCTGATTTACATAGTGAATAAAACAATAAAACGGAAATTCAAGTATACATATATAGAGAATTTGCATGACTACAAACATATATATTCAGAATTAATATGAATGAAATAATATTTATATTCCCGAATTTCTTTTGCATTTTTTTAAATTTAAAATATAAATGGTCTCAATCGAAAATATTTTAAAAGGATATTAGAACCTTTCCATTTTATATTATAATTTGATTTTACATAATAATTAATATTACAGTTAAATAAATGTTATTCACACTCAATTTTATAGCTTTACCATTTTATATCTTATATAAAAGAGAATTATTTACTACCAATTTGAAAGGGATTACCAATAATGTTTTTATAATTGAATAAATATTAGCAATACATCTTCTCTAATATTTCTATATGTAAGATATTTATATGTTAATATATATATTTTTAAAAGATTCACTCCACCTTATTTTCATTTTGAAAAATAATTCACTCCTATATAGTTATTTAATAATTAATATATAATAATCATTTCAGTTTGACGTTGAATAATTACAGGTAGTTTTCTTTAAAATATTATACTCATGGCAAAAGTTATTGATATGTTATATTAGGTTGTCAGGAGTCTGTCCTGTGAATGAGACAGAGAAAATTTTATTCACACTTGGTTATTTTATGTGTCTTCAATAAAGGCTGTGTATCAAATATCTTTCTGAGTTATTGTCTAAATACCGATATACATACTAAAAGGTATAACTTCCTTAGGTTTTGTCTATATATGTATGTTTCAGAGTTTTGTCTGAATCCAGATATACATGCTAAAAGGTACAACCTCCTTAAGTTTTGTCCTTTAGTGTATCTTACAGAGTTATTTTCTGAATCCTGATATACATGTTAAAAGGTAAAACTTCCTTAAGTTTTGTTCTTTGGTGTATCTTTCAGAGTTATTTTCTGAATCCAGATATACATGCTAAAAGGCACAACCTCCTTAAGTTTTGTCCTTGAGTGTATCTTTCAGAGATATTTTCTGAATCCCGATATACATGCTAAAAGGTACAACATCCTAAAGATCTGTCCATGAGTGTATCTTTCATAGTTATTGTCTGAATCCTGATATACATGCTAAAAGGTACTACTTCCTTAAGTTTTGTCGATGAGTGTATCTTTTAGAGTTATTGTCTGAATTCTGATATACATGTTAAAAGTTACAACTTCCTTAAGTTCAGTCCATGAGTGTATCTTTTAGAGTTATTGTCTGAATCTCAATATACATGCTAAAAAGTACAACCTTCTTTATTTTGTCTATACGTGAGTGTATAGATATAAAAATAAAATATAATATATATGAATGAATAATATTTTCCGTAAAGAATTGAAGTTGTAGTCGTGATAATAGAAAAATAATTATTTACTAACAAGTAGTTTTTTCTCAATTATTTGAACAAAATCACACAACCAATATTCATACAGTTATATATAATTTATAAAATTAATCCTATATTGGTGAAATAAAAAAAATAGGTAAGTTAACTATATATACACCCATACCTTGCTTTGCGTCGGGGTTACGTTCCAAAAAAAAAAACACGACGCAAATTGAAACGATGCAAAGTGAAAATAAAATGTTGATGGCATGGCGCAATCAAAAACAAAAGTGTTGCCATATTTTAGGAAAAAAATTGAAAAAAAAAAAATTAAGACTCGAATACAAAACAACGCAACTTCGAAAATCTAACGATGCAAAGTGAAAATCAGTAAAAATTAAGCAGCGACGCAACTTCGAAAAAAACGCAAAAAGAAACGACGCAAAGCTAGGTATTGGTGTATTTACAATAATTTTCGAGTAGTCCAACGGTAAATACCAGCAATTTGTTAATATAAAAAAGCCGAGGTATCTGGTGGATTACTTTACAGAATAGTTTACTCTAAAGGTTATAATTTCAAAAAAAATCAGTTTAACATATATACTCACGAATCGTAATGGATTATATTATTATAGTGTGTATTAATATATATGTACCTATAGAGAGGCACATCACTGTTTAATTTTACATAAGAATGATACTTTAAAATCATGTATTGCTTTCTAAAATATCAG